AATGAAAATCTTCATTTAAAAGGTGTGTATATTGGCAGCAGTAAGACCTTATCTGTAAGACCAAGTAAATCTACTTTAATGTTCATTAAAGAAAAAAAATCTCTTTTTAGAGCTATGTTGAACCATAATGACAACCATGATTAGAGACAAAAATAATTCAATTGTTTTCTTGACAAATAAGTATTAGCTGCCCCTCTATGAATGATATTGCATAAGATACTATGGTAAAAAATAACACGACAGACCTGCTACAAGAAGTTCCTAATCTGACTGAGGAAGAGTACAAACAAGCAGCAATGCCAAGTCCATCCAGTCAGTGCCTAGAGCAGTGTGGGAAGATAGAGGTGGAGCTCCTAGTCACAGTTTGTCAACTCTTTTCATTTTATCACATGTGAAAAAAAGGATATTATTTGCATGGCCCAAGACCCCAGGTAACTTGGCTCCTAGGCCATCTGAAGTTCTGCCCTGAGAGCTGAAGGTATGAGGAACAGTTTGAGGAGACTATAAGTACTCGAAGATGTAGCGAGTGGTTACTATATTAGACAGTGCAGAAAGGACATTTCCATAACCACAGAAAGTTCCACTGAATAATACTATAATCTAGAATTCCACTCACCAATTCCAAATTCTGAAATAAGAGAAATGCTAACAATAAATGTAAAAAAGCATAACGATGGAATGCTATTTATCAATAAAAAATAAACTGCTAGTACATGCTATGACACAGAAAAATCTCACAAACATGCTAAATGACAGAAGCCAATCACAAAAGACTATATATTATATGATTCTATTTATATGAAATGTCCAGAAAAGGCAAAATTTTAGAGACAAAAAGCAGATCACAGGTGCTTAGGGCTAGTTATGAGAGAAGAAAGTGACTGCAGCCAGGCCGCAAGTATCGTTCTGGGTGACAGAAATATTCTAAAACTGGATTGTGGAGATGGTTGCATAACACTGCATTTACTAAAAGTCACTGAAATGTGCACTTAAAATAGGTAAATGTTATATAAATTACACTTCAATCAATCTGTTAAAATAGTAGTATACTGAAAAACATGTTATTTGTAAAATGGCCATTTCAAAAATTTTCCGTTTTAGCACCACAAACATGTCTACAAATCCCCCAAAATAACAGAAACCAAAGCCTCTTCTACAGTAGATGCCAGAGACCCATATAACTTTCTAGTGGCACCTAGTGATAACACTTCAAACAGTGATAAACTTCATGACAGTTTTATATCTGAATTTTATCATTCTATTATAGTCTAAGAGTTACACAAAACTACTTGAAATACTCAAAATTCCCAGTCACATGAGAGAACACCATATACTTAAAGGATAACACCGAGAGCAGCAGCAGCAAACATCACTGATGAAGCACACACTGGTGTATGTTCTAGACACCGTCCATGGCTATACTTCACATAACTAACTACCTCAGCGAAGTTCTGTTTCACAGTGTTTCATGATATGCTCTTAACTATCTCAAGAAAGAAAACAATGTTTTACATACCCTCAAATACTCTCTCACCAAAGGGGCAACAAGAATATTTTCTTCCTTTTTGTTATTTTAAGAAATCTGACCTTCCAAATGAATTATATCCTCTTTAATTAAACTGAAAATATCTGAAGCATTACTTCCTCCCAAATAACAAACTTATAAGATGTGGAATTATAACTCAATGCACCTTCCAAGAGCTGTTGTAGTGTTATCTAGCACTTTTGAAGTGTTTTCTCTCCTAATTCAATGATGCATATTCTTTACTTGATCTTCAGACTGAAATTGTATTCTCATTATGAAACTACTTTTCTAACATTCATTAGATCAACGATGATGGGAATAATTTATATGTTATATTAGTGCATGTTTCTCTGACTTAAAAAAAGAAAATGAAATTGAGTTATACACAGAATTCTAAAACCAGGGATGTATCTTAGATCTCGTCTAGTTCAACTTATTCCCAGATATTTCAGGGCAGAGTGGGAACCTCAGAGGACAAATCGTGATTCCTAGGCCAGAGTTCTTTTCATTGCCCTCTTATTGCCTTGATTTAAAACACACACACACACACACACACACACACACACACTCTCTCTCTCTCTCTCTCTCTCTCTCTCTCTCTCTCTCTCTCTCTCTCTCTCTCTCTCTTCAGTAATAGTAGTTGGGAATTAGTCTCAAATTTTCAAGAAACCTTATAGACTAAAATGTTATCCATTAAAGGTTATCAAATTAGCCTCTGCTTGAAAACAAATTAGATTCATAATTAGATATAACATGATTCTTTTTCATGAAAAAAAAAGTAAATCCTCTTAATGTTTGAAGGTCTAAACTCATTGTTTTAAATAATGGTGACGATCCATTAATAAAGATCTCAAGATAAAAAATTTTTAAAAACAGAGCTAATAAAAAAAGTATATAAAAAGTTTTCTTCCAGAGTATAATTTTAATATCGAATGACTGAACCAAGTTATTATAAATATATCAAGTACCAAACACTTAGACATAGTCATATCCATAAATGTTATTAAAAAGAAGCAAATTATCAGACCCCAAAAAGTAATACATGATTGCATATCTAACATATTTCAATTAAATTGCAAAGGTGATGAATTTAAAAAGCCAGTGAATTATTGAGAACCAAGGATTAAGATTGCTCTCAATTATTTATAGTGTATTGGCAAACAAACATTTCTCCTGAGTTGACAGAACACAGAATTTTAAGAGCAATCTTCAGAGAAACGTTCTCCATGGGCTTAAAGTACATCCTGCCTTGTCCTATATAAAAATAGCACATTGTAATCAAAAAGAAAAAAGAACAGAATGAGGAGATCATTTGTCTCCTGGCTCTTCATCATACTCTCCATATTCTAATGGGTGTGAAGAGCTTATCAGATTGTCTGTGGGCTAGAAGTCTGAAAGATAAATGTGGTTCAAAGAATCCTCTTATCTACTTGCCTATCAGTTCTCAAAGTGTGAAGAAATTTAATCTTTTTATAATAACCTTGAAAGGCTGTTCTGTCTGAATTGTTATTTAATAACACCAACACTCTATCATACTGAATATGGAAATAGTCAAAGCTGTAATTTATCAGGAAAAAGAAAGTTAACGATAGATTCCAATTGATTACATTATTTATAAAGGTGGAACTTTCTTAGGTACTGATAATTATTTTAAAAGATGGCCAACAGTCATGCGGAATCAATTATTCAAAATGCTCCCTACTTCCTAATGAGGCACTGGCTCTTTCATTTATATGATATATGTCTTTCTCAAATTCTAGAATATTCTGTGCCACTTTTTTAAAATATTACACTGCTTACTCATTCTCTCCTTTTTCTCCAGAAATTCCTATTGGATTATTGATTGATTCTCATTTTATTGTTCATGTCTCAATTTCTCTTTCATATTTTCTACTGTAGTATCTTCTGTGCTGCACACAAGCTAATTTTGTCAGGCTGGGTCTTCAGTTCACAAATTCTTTGGTCAGTCAAGTTTAATCATACTTTAACCTAATCTTGAGTTTTTGTTTTTTAATTTTAGAGACAATATTTTTCATTCCTAAAAAGTCTATTTGTCCTTTTCAAATCTGCCTAGACTTTTTAGACAGTGTCTGTCTTTTTTTTCATATTTTCAATTCTGTCTCTTACATGATTAATCATTTCAAACATACATTTTTAGGTATCTAATAATTCTAATGAACTGAAGTTCTCAGAGGTCTGGTTCTGCTGCTTGGTATAACTCAATGATTTTTATCAGTGTAACAGTGAGATAGAATTCCTAGAAGTAGAACTACCTGGCCAAAGGGAAATATAAATGTAAGTTTTCTAGATATTGACAAATTCTCTTCTCTAGGGTTTATAACATTTTGCATTTCCTCCAGCAATGTATGAGAGTGCATGTTCTCCCCATTCCCTCCACAGCCTCATCAACTGAATAGCTTGTCAAATTTCTAATTTCTGTCAATGTGATTGGTAAGAAATGCTATCTTGGTGTAGCATTAGTTTACATATTTCTTATTAGTAGAAAGATTAAGTATCTCTTCATATGTTTAAAAGTAATCTGCAATTCTTTTTCTGAAAATCATGTGTTCGAATATCTTCTTCATTTTCCTATTGAGCTGACACTTTTCTTATTCTCTAAATTTTATTAACCCTTTTAATACTCTTTTCTAATTTGTCACTTATTTTTTTACTTTATGCAGTATTTTTAGCCACATAAAAGTTATTATTTTTATTGTAAAATTTATCAACATTTCCCTTACTGCATTTGGATTTTGAGCTGTAGTTGGTGTGTTTATTTCACTTCCAGGTTTCGAAGAATTCACCATTTTTTTCTTTCCTAGTACTTGCAGGGTATCATTGTTGCACATTGAGTATCTGATTCATTTGTAATTTTTCCTTGGCATAGTATAACGAATAAATCTAATATTGTCTTCCTTCATTATACACTAAATACTCAGGTACAACTGTTTATTTCCTCATTTTCTAGTTAATTTTCTTATTCTGTCTTTTTAAGCACCAATACCACAGTTTTAATTATAAGGGCTTAAAAATGTTTCAGTATCTAGTAGGACTACAACCCTGCTTCACTGTTCTTCTTTCAAGAGTTTTCCTTACATTACTCTTACTTATTTGTTCTTCCCAATGAAATTTATAATCGACTTGCCTAACTCCAAGAAACACACACACACACACACAGAAGCATCACAAAGCTAAAAATTAACTTAAAGAGATTGGCAAATTTATGATGTTGAAACTAAAAGTTAAGTATAAGGACCAAAACTTTAGAGAAAACAACCTTAAAACAGTTTACCATCCTCTGCTTGTGAACCCAGAAACTTTTGCTACGATACCATGGGAAATTTTTATTTAAACAAATGTAGATTAACTAGCAAAGGAACCCAATTTATTTCATTTGTCATGTATTGTGTAATAAAACTGATTAGGAAAAAAAAAAGATCAAATAACACAAAGCATTAGTAATGTACTTGCTCACCTTCTCTTTTCAGCCATTTCACAATGTTCCCTTCTTCCATTGTAGGAGACAGTGACGGCATTAGTATTTTAATAGGATCAGCTGATCAAAAAAAAAAAAAAAAGGAAAGATTAGCCATACACACAAAAATAACACAACTCACTTGGCATTAATAAAAAAGTCAAGTAAATTAATACTAAATTCAATTTGAGAAAGAAAATATTCCAAAGTTGAAAAGACTCCCAACTAGTCAAACTAAGTGTCCAGTAAATAGTATGGAAACATAAAATTTTCAACTTTTTAAAAATAAAATTTGATTGGAATACTTTCAACGCCTTTCTCATAGTTCCCCAGTCTTTTATGCATATTTTCAAGCCAAGTGTTTACAAGATTTAAAAAAATGAAAAGTTGACTTATGTTTCATCTTCTTCCCCTTTTGTCGCTACAAAAAATATTTACAAGTAAAATGATCAAAGAAAAAGACAAATACGAAAAAGAAAAGGATAAAAACTAGGGTTCTGATAACTTACAAAAGGATAATCAAGCTTAGACTTTAAGAAATTGTGTTTTTATTTTCCTCTAATAGTATACTCTTCAAGAATCGAAGGTTCTGGCTGGTAAGTGTGAAAGGTTTGCCTTGTTACGAATGATCAGGCAAGTGAATCTAAGTGGTTAAATTATTTTCCATACCACAACTCAACTGGGGATCCAAAAAGGAGACTCAAACCAGGGTGATCTCTCCATGAAGCACAGCTACCTTTTCTTTAGATATCGAAAAAGGAGACACTCTATATATTTGGCCAAATGTGCTTCCCAATAGTCACTCATTGAGCACACAGCTGTTAGATTACAATTTATATAAAGTTTATACTAATAAAATAGTTAATAGCATGCTCCAGCTCTAGCAGTAGCCATGGTAAAAAATTATACTTCATGAAATCTTCCATAGAACCGATTCTCTCCTCAGACTGTTCAACAAACAGACCCCAAAAAGCAATACATGATTACATATCTAACATATTTCAAATGTGGAAGAGGACAGAATGGATTTTTATTTTTGCATTGATGTTTTAGGGTCAAAAGTAAGGGTACTGAACGCTACTATTAAAGGAAGTTAAATATTTCCTTTGAGAAACTTAACTAATTTTACTCTAGCTTTCAAACTGAGAGTTCTTATGGCTTCACGATATAGGAGTTCCATCTCCGAAGCATTTGGAAGGCAGCTTCTGTGCTCTTTTCCTTTTTCATTCTCTCCTCTCTAAAAGATTGGGGAAAGACCAGAGCAAATACCTGCCTCAGTCTTTCCTCCTTCTCTTTTAAGAATTGCCTACCTATAGGCAACCTGCAGTTTCCTTTCAGCTCTTCCATGTGCTAGGAGTAAATGGGACTGCCTTTCAAAGGCAGATGGCAAGCCCACCTCTCTCTGTTCCCACCATCAGGACCCATCGAGTGTGAGGAAGCAATCTGGGTATGTGTGTTTGCTCTGTATACACAAACTAACTCTCTCAAACAAAAATCCTCATCTAAATTGGGGTTGTACTGGGAAGTCCAACTATAAAGGCCATCAATCTAAGTCACATTCTCAAACCCAACAAAACCATCAGCATTAAAACTGTTACTTTTGATCTCTATGAACTATTTTGCCTCTCTCTCAACTCTAAGAAGGACAGAAAAGAATTACCATTCCATCCCCAACGACGATAGAGCCCAAACCAAACTCCAAGTCAACATGCCCATTTCGTCAATGAGAAAACTACAATCCAGATTAAGGGATCTGAATTCTGCCAGACTCTCAAGACTGTAACTACACATATTACCTCTCACTTGTTATTTATGCAGTCTATTCATCCAGAAATTTAAAAACAGCAAACCAGACATATCAAATCCATGGGAGCATTCTTCTTATGTCCAATCAAATATCAATAAACACT